ATTGTTGTTGTTGAAAACAGTCTCTCTATCTCCGCAGGTAGGGGTAAGGTCTGCGCACACACAATCCTTATCAGACCCCACATATGAGATTATACTGGGTTTATTACTGTTGTTGTGGTTGTTGTTGGTTTGTTTCAACATTGTAATTTGGTCACTTGTGTTAATGCTTGTAAATAATTTCTCTATTACGGAAAAAGAATGATAATGGATTCTTAGCCACGAATATAGTGAGATGGAAGAAATCCCTCCCCTTTTGGGTTTGACCCCTATGAACGAAGTCCAAACAAGGATTAACTTCTTACTTCTCGAGCAATAGTTCCACGATCGCGACCAGCAACCGAAGGACGTTTTCTTCTCTGCCCTCTCCTCTTCAAAGGCCAAGGGGGGCTTTGGTAGCTTTTCGCCAATGGATCACTTAGTCGAAATAACCGGGCTTAGGTTGATGCAGAATAAGTTATTTTTTCCCTGTTTTCATGGAGATTCCTGGATCGGACCCCTTAAGTGGACTGTACACGACCCGAATTTGAATTCATCGGGCTAGTAAATTTTTAATACAAGATAGTTAAGAGAGAAATAACTTAAAGAGAGCTATGAAATTTTTCTATTTTCTTTTAATATGTTTTTAAATATTTTTTTTGGAAATTTCCCAGGAAACCCTCAGGCGTCACGCTTCGGGTGTGGACTGGGCAATCTACTCACTGCACAATAGCTTGCAAACTACATAGGAGATGTAAATTGCATTAGACAAACTCAATGCGACAAGCTCTGACTGAGAAGACTACTGGTGAGGGGAATCGATCCACGATCCCCATGTGGGAAGCCACTCACCCAACGAACTCGTGAAAAAATAGGAGAGAGAAAGATTAGGAAAGGAGAAAGTTACATCTAAATACTATAGTAAGACAAAATTGCAACCTTTAAAGAAACGATAAAGACTCCGGTTTTAAAGCATCTTTTATAGTATTAATTATAAAAGTTACTAGGCTATGATTATTCCACGTGTTATTACCTATATAACCAAACAAGTAACAAAAAACATAACTTACATCCAAATCTTGACTCACTCCATATTCTCATTCTTTCTCCAAAAAAATGTCCAATTATCATATTGCTGTTCTAGCATTCCCATTTGCAACACATGCTGGTCTTTTACATGGACTTGTCCAAAGGCTAGCAAATGCATTACCTAATGTGACATTCACATTTTTCAACACTTCTAAATCAAATTCTTTAATTTTCTCCAACCAAACCAATCCACATTGTACTAACCTTAAGCCCTTTGATATCTCCGATGGCGTACCTGAGGGGTACGCGATCGGAGAAGGAGGAATTGAGGAGCTTATAGGGTTGTTTTTTAAATCCGCAAAAAATAATTTTCAGAATGCTATAACAACTGCTGAGGATGAAACGGGAAAAAAAATTACGTGCGTTATCGCGGATGCGTTTATATGGTTTTCCGGCGAGATTGCGGAGGAATTAGGCGTTGATTGGATTCCTGTTTGGACTTCTGCGGCAGGATCACTGTCTGTCCATATTTACACTGATTTTATTAGAGAAAATGTTGGGGTCCAAGGTATATTTTTTCTGTTTTGTTATAAGTAAATAAATGAATAATACATTAATAAATAAAAAAATAAAAAAAAATAAAGGCAGTTGGCGGTGCACGAAGCATCCCGCGTTTACGCAGGATCTGGGGACCCAGTGAGATGTAATGTAGGCAGCCTACCCTAATACAAGCATAAGTGGCTGATTCCACTGCTCGAACCCGTGACTTATAGGTCACAGGGAGACAACTTTATTGTTGCTCCAAGGCACCCCTTCAATATATTAATAAATAATGTAGAAAAATATAGAAACATGTTATTAATTTGACAACAAATACATTAAGTTATCTCTGTGTGACCTATAGATTACGGGTTCGAGCCATGTAATCAATCACTGATGTAGGCTGTCTACCTGGCATCACTTGGGTTGCGACCTTTTCCCGAACCCTATGTAAATGCGAGATATTTTGAACTGCCTTTTTTGAATCTTTTCATGTTGACTACTAAAGTTGGGATCAGAAGTAATTTAAGATTGTATCTAAAGAGATTGGGTCAGGCTAAGAAAAAAAACAAATTTAGGTGAAGGAAATACTTAACGAGAGACTTATTTTCCCCATTCTTTATATAGTATGACTTTTCCTATTGATTTTAATAGCGAGTAGTTTCATTATTTTAAGAATTTTGATATAGTTACACTATATGTAGAAAGACGATTTCAAGTATATATATTTAATGAGTTTTTTAACACAAACACTGTTTAAGCAAAAGTTACTGGTTCGCCGAACCCGTAGCTCAACTTCTGTCTCTGCCCTTGCATCTAATGTATGGATTAGATCGTGGCAAAAATTATTAAATGATGGTTATTGCATGAGAAACTTATTTGAAATTGAAACGTAGTTATTATTGTTATATTCCGTTTATTTATTATGAAGTATTATATTTACGTATAACAAAAAGATTAATTTCTTCACAGGAATTGCTGGACGTGAAGATGAAATTGTGAAATTTATTCCTGGATTTTCCGAACTAAGGCTTGGTGATTTGCCTAGTGGAGTTATATTTGGAGATTTAGAATTACCATTTTCTCAAATGCTTCACAAAATGGGCAAAACCATAACAAAAGCCAATGCCTTGCCAATAAATTCGTTTGAAGAATTAGACCCTCCAATTGTTGAAAATCTCAAGTCCAAATTCAAGAATTTTCTAAATGTTGGTCCTTTTAATTTAACCTCACCACCACCCTCAGCAAATATTATAGACAAAAATGGTTGTATTGAATGGCTAGATAATCAAGAACCAAATTCTGTGGCTTATATTGGATTTGGCACAGTTGCAACACCACCACCTAATGAGTTAATATCTATGGGTGAAGCACTTGAAGAAAGTAAGACACCTTTTCTTTGGTCAATTAAAGATGATTTTATAACACATTTTCCAAAATGGTTTTTGGAAAATACAAGTGAATATGGTAAAATTGTACCATGGGCCCCACAAGTACAAGTTCTTGAACATAGTTCAATTGGGGTTTTTATAAATCATAGTGGTTGGAATTCTGTGTTGGAAAGTATAGCTTCTGGTGTGCCAATAATATGTAGGCCATTTTTTGGAGATCAACATTTGAATTCTTGGATGGTTGAGAAAGTGTGGAAAATTGGAGTGAAAATTGAAGGTGGGGTTTTTACTAAAAGTGGTACAATGGTTGCACTTGACTTGGTTTTATCAAAAAATAGAGAAGAATTGAAGCAACAAATTGGTATGTATAAAGATCTTGCTCTCAAGGCTGTTGGACCAAGTGGGAGTTCAACTGAAAATGTCAACAAATTGGTTGAGATTATCACCTCTAGCAATTGAAATTGTCCCCTTGAAAGGAAATTCAATGATTTATTTACTACTCCTATTGTTTGCAATAATTAATTCCATTTTAGTTTTTCTTTAATGGATCATCAATACTAGTCCATGTGACATTGTTTTTCTTTCTTTGGGAAAGTATCTTATTTAATTAGTCATTAATTTAATTGAAACACGTGACCTCTTAGTCATATTACCTGGAGGGATTTGGGGCTTTCCTTTTTCATTTTTAGTTTCTGTCTTTTTTAGTATTTTTTTATTCAAATAAATTGAATTCACGCGTCTAATTCGCATGATTGGCATGCACTATTGCCACAAACATGGCGTTGCCACACAAGCATGATCAACGGTCAAAGGTATTTATTAATACTCATCCTCTCAACTTTTAGTGTCTAAATGGAAAAGTTGTTAGTTTATTTACCGCGATGGAAAACTGATGCAAGTTTATGTGGCCATTAGGCCATTTTGCCTTTTTTTTTTGTAACCACGACAGCTAGGGGTGCTTATCGGGCAGATCGGGGGATAGTTACGCTTAATGATTCCGCTTATCGATTATCAGATTATAAATGTAGTAATCCGCTAGCGATCCAATAAGATAATGGACGGATTGGTATCAGAATAACGATAATCGGATGGTTTTCGGGCTGTTTATCGGCTAATCCAAATAGAATTTTTTTTAACAATCAGTACCAAACGGCCAAATACATAGTTCAAACTGTCTATATTAGTCTTTTTTAACAATCAATACTATTAGCATTGTTATCCACAAAGGTAATACTATGTCCTAGAGAGTAATTCAATTCATGTCCACTCATAATTCAGGAGAAGCGAGAGACGACTGCCATTAGCTACTGATAGTTCTATCATTCCATATTATAATTTTGCACACATTTGCGACTGTTTTGGACTTGAATCTTATATGAATGTATCTGATTATAATTTGATCACAAGAAAAGCACCTTAGGAATGCTTATCAAAATAAAAGCTCTGAACTTACAACTACTTATGCAACAATGTAGTAACAAGTTGCTCTGAACTTCACTAGTTAAAGGTCATGATTACTAGATTATTTGTTATTAAATGTTACCTTAATACACCATGTCGAAGAGCATTAGTGAGGGCAGTCAGTGGAGAAGTTAGGAATTTCTTCGAGGGTGTTCAAATTTAAAAGAAGTGAAAAAAATTTCCGATAAAGGATGTTCAATATGTGTTATATATCTCTAAAACGTAATATTTTACCTACGTACACAGTATATTTTTCGACGAAGGGTGGTCAGTTGACCATCCTTATGAACATGTGGCTTCGCCACTGAGAGCCACTATGTAGATCCTTCAAAATCCACAAGAAAATTGAATGTGCTTGTACTAGATGCCTTCTTTTCCTTAATAACGGTTATGTCCAGGCAAATTTTCACACACCTCGACTAATGAATAAAGTCCACAAACACGCGTTATGTAATCGCAAGCCATTCCCTTGGAGATATGTAGGATAGGTTTTGATTTATAATTGGAGTTCATAAAAGTTACCTCTTTAGTTATTTGATACCAAGTTAAAAGGTACTTTATCATCTCTAGATTTCAATCTTTATCTTGCTTGAGCAGATGGGAATGGGAAGTGCATTGGACACTTTATGTGGGCTATCATATGGCACAAAGCAGTATCATATGCTTGGTATCCATATGCAAAGGGCAATGTTTGTTCTTTTACTGGTCAGTGTTCCACTTACCTTCATTTGGGCTAATGCAGAACACATTCTTGTATTATTGGGACAAGATATGGAAATAGCAGCCGAAGCAGGAAGTTATGCGCGCTTTATGATTCCAACTATCTTCGCGTACGGGCTTCTCCAGTGTCAAATTAGATTTCTGCAAGCCCAAAACATTGTGCTACCTATGATGCTCAGTACCGGAATAACTACTTTGCTGCATTTATTCAGTTGTTGGATTCTGGTATTTAAATCTGGCCTAGGCAACAAAGGCGCTGCTTTGGCTAACGCGATAACCTACTGGATTAATTTCTTGTTGCCAGCTGTATATGTCAGAATATCGCCTTCTTGCAAAAGCACTTGGACCGGATTTTCAAATGAAGCATTTCAAGATACTTGGAAATATATAAGACTTGCCATTCCTTCAGCTGCTATGTTCTGGTAGTGTTCTTAGTTGATCACGCCCAACTATGCCTTATAAAAAAGACTCTGCGGACGTTGCAAATATAACCCGAGTATTACGCCCAGGGTCGAATCCACAGAGAGTTACCTATCAACCACTATCTTCAGACCCACTAATTCTTCAGAACCAGCTTCCCAAATATTCAAATCTCAGTTGAATGTTCTTTAACAACTACTCTTTCAAGTACTAAATAGCTGTAAACTAAACTAATAAGGTTGTAAACAATTATGATAAAAAGCTAAGGCAATGATTTCCCCTATTGATGGAATCCCTTCTGTTTATGCTCATACAAATTTACCAACACATCTCTCTCAATCATGAACGCTAATCTTACCGTAAATCTCTCCCGAGTAATCACAATAATTTACTATTACACTCTCCCGAGATACACTAGCTTACTTTATTTAGCACGATTCACTTTAGATTACACCCAAGGCTTCTTTATCCTTAATCCCGCCTTTAAACCCGCAATTATAGATTCCTCTAATAATCTAGGAGTGGTGTTGTTCAACAATACCCTAAATATGCACTCTTTTCCAAGTTATGCACACTAAATAGGCACAACTAATTGAGGATCCTGTCAATTAACTACAACAAACACAAAGTTGAACAAATAGAGATTAAACTAGCAATTTGTATTCACATAAACAAGAAGTTCATCACCCAATAGGTTCCATCAAAACCTTAGACAAGGAATTTAGCTACTCATGGCTATGGGAAAATAAACTAAGATTGAATTCATCATAAAAATCAAAAGTAAAGAAGAAAGATGTTTTGAGTATTCTCTCACAATGGTTTTCCTTGCTAAGAAACCTTAAAAATCAATACATGCCTCTCTTGGGCGAAGTCTAATGTTTTAAATAGGGTTTAGGTCTAAAAATCCCGTATTTTACACTTTAGTCCCTGAAGTTTTCTGCGTCCGCCGCGGTTCTGCCGCGGTCGCGGTCAAACCGCGGCTTAAAGCCTTCTCTGAATCTGAATTTATCCGCAGCTATCTTCCACCGCGGTCGCGGTGGAACCGCGGTCAAACCAGTTCTCTGAATCTTCAGGCCTATTTTGCGTGGTGTACTTGGGGAATTTCACAGTTGGCCTCTTTTTCTTCAATTTTGACTCCAAAACTGCTCCTTAGCCTTCCTTATACATATATCACCTGCCAATCATAAAAAGCACTAATAAGAGCATTTTGTTACCACTTTTAGCATTAAAACTACACAAGAAGGTGATTATTTAAGGTGTGATTATAGTCAAATTCACCTATTATCAGGTTACAATTTTGACCTTGCTCGAAATAACACCCCTACGACCATCGGCCTTCGCCAAGAGAGAAGTTCGACCTCGCTCGAATCCACGACGGGTTACAATTTTGACCTTGCTCGAAATAACACCCCTACGGCCATCGGCCTTCGCCGAAAGAGAAGTTCGACCTTGCTCGAATCCACAACGGGTTACAATTTCGACCTTGCTCGAAATAACACCCCTACGGCCATCGACCTTCGCCGAAAGAGAAGTTCGACCTCGCTCGAATCCACAATGGGTTACAATTTCGACCTTGCTCGAAATAACACCCCTATAGCCATCGGCCTTCGTCAAAAGAGAAGTTCGACCTCGTTCGAATCCACAACGGGTTATAATTTTGACCTTGTTTGGAATAACACCCATACGGCCATCGGCCTTCGCCAAAAGAGGAGTTCGACCTCGCTCGAATTAACAACTGGTTATAATTTCAACCTCGTCCGAATATATGTTAGAAATTAACTCCGCCCAAGAATGGCGACTTCAAGTTCGACCTAGCTCGAATACACATGGAAAAATACAACCGACTTCGTCCAAGATGGCGAATCTAATTTCGACCTCGTCCGAATTAAGGTTGGTTCTGCTTGATTTGGCAAATCAAAAGTCAACCTCGCCCAAACACGCAAATTCGAATTCGCAACCAAAAGAGTCAGGGACGCTCATCACAGTGAAAATCAAAAGATACACAAATGAAGACGAAACAACTATTTTATTCAAATATACATGCGTGACAACCGCACCTTACAAAGGGCCGAAACGGACCCTTGGGAAAAGAAAGTAAACAACGAAAGAACAAAAAAAGAACTAAGTGCATAGGACGCAGCAAAAGCTTCACTCTGCATCATCCCCGCTGTCGTTCTCCCCGATATCACCATCATCATCAGAAGGGAGCTCATCCTCATTATCGATACCCTCCCCAGCCTCCGGAGTTGCAGGGTCATATCCACAGGCAGCTCAAGCCTCGAATGCCTTTGCCCGAGCATCTTCAAAGGTAGCCTCTGAGACATCCCCGCCTCCCATAAACCCTTGTAAATATCTCGCTGGGCCTCGGTGTGGACCCATAACTCATATAGGCAGCGTGGGACCGCGGCAGAGGCAGACTTGACCTGGGCCAACAGCTATTCCTTCTCAGCCTCGAGTGCCACGACCCGGTCTCCTAGGCTCGAAGCCTCCCGGTCGATTTCACCTATACGCTCCTCGAGTCGCGCCTCCCTCATCGTGGTCGTAGCCTTGTCAGATTCCTGTTCAGATTAAAGGACGCGGATAGTGTCCTCTAGCGCCGCCGCCCTCGCCAAAGCCGATGTCCGAGCCTCCTCGGCACTCTCCATTTCGGCCACTTTCTTTTCCAGCTCGGCCAACTTCCCCATCCATTCTGCGCTCAAAGCTTCGACTCTGGTAGCATTCTGCTCGAGTTCGATCTGCAGAGACAACACCTTCGCGTGAAGGTCCTCGCACTCTGCGTCAATCCCTTTGCCCACCTCGAGTTCCTCGTCTTTGGTACAGAGAAGTTCCTCGAGCTCACTACATCTGCGGATGGACTACATCAGCTCTTGATCCCTTTTCTCCAACTCTTCCCTGATGGATTGGGTGCCAGTACCCGCCCTGAGCTGCTCGTGCATCTCACGGAACTTGTTGCGATACCGCTGATACTTTTCAAGAATCTTCAAAAAAAATATCCGCCCGAGTCTCGGCTCTGCGAGCACTCTCGATCTCTAGCATGTAAGACTAAAAACAAAGGGAGGAAAGGAATTGGTAAAGATCAAGGTCACGAAGCAAACAAAAAAAAGGGGGAGGGGACTTACCCTTTGGCCTATCGCAGCCACACCACGTGACAATTAGGCATCACTAAAATCCTGGAGAGCTCCGGTTTCTGCGGTAGAGCATAAAAGGTCAAACTGCGGCACAAAATCCACTGTATCTCGCAGAAGTTTGAGATCCGTCGGAATTTCACGTATTCGGGAAGGGCTTCCCGCTCTCACTACAATTCGGGTAAAGCCCTCCTCGAACATCCTAACGTCAGCAGGATCGAGGTCGAATTCGGACTCGTAATCGTCAACCATGACGCCTTTTCCCCTATCCTCGGTCGAAGAAGAAGTACGGTTCGGCCGAGATGTTGAAGGGCTATCCGAGACAACGACGGCATCCTCGGGACTCCGTCTCTCTGCCACACCAGCCTGTTGACCGCTTACAACAGGCGTAGCCTCTGCGGCCGGGTTGGCATCACCACCGGTTTTGGGCACCGGCAAGGCAAGGTTGCCCCTCGAAGATGTTTCGGCTTGAGGAGCCACTTCCCAACACCACCCATCGCCTCTTCGACGGGTCCTCTTCCTACGGACGCGGGAAGATTCACCCGTTGAACGGACAGCAGGAACCGGAGTCTCTGGCAAGGAGTAGACTCTGCACAAACGGCTTCGGCTGCAGGCGCATATTGGGCAGTAGCTCTCGACGCAGGCCGGGCAGCGGCTCTAGGCGTAGGTCGGGCAAGGGGCACCGGCTAACGAAATGCGAGCGAAGGAGCCTTCGTCCTTCGTACCCTCCTTGTCGATAAAGAAAGACGATCATATAACGACAAGGCTAAACCATGAGGCAAAGAATAATGGAAAAACCGCAGCGGGCCAACTTACCAATGAGAGGCTTAGGCCCATATTTCTCATGGAAGGATGCCCACTCAAGAATCCCCATTGTATGGGGGAGAATTGCGCTCACCCACTCGCGGATATCGTCAACCAGCGGGGGAGGTACTCTCTCGGCTGCAAAAGCAAAAACAAGTCTTTTGCAACATCACCTAAAGGAGAACGATCGACGACCGCCTTAAGAGGAATCACAAAATAAACAAAGGAAAACTTACGGGCGAAGTTCCACGTCTCTGGAAACCCTGCCGAGTCCACCACAAGGTGCTTTGTCCGCACATAGAAGTAGCTTTCCCAGAAGCGGCGATTAGCCTTATCGTCCATCTTCACCACCAAACTCTTGGTTCCTTGATGGCGCATGTGGATCATTGTACCCCGAAGAAAATATGGGGAAAAGATGTGAAGCATGTGCCCCAAGGAAATTCCTCGTCCGGCAAGCTCCGCATACTTGATAAGCATGAGGAAGAGTTTGTACGAGTACGGAGAGAGCTGAGCCGGGCACACTTCGTAGAAGCGGCAGAAGTCTACCACCAGAGAGGGGAGGGGAAGCGTGTACCTGATAATAAAAGGGTACACGTAAAATGTGCAGTACCCCGGGCGGTGCAAATGTACAATGTCCTTCCCCGCCGCCGGTACCATTTCTATATGAATTGGGATTCCCCACTTGGCCTTGAGCGCCGTAATCACCGCTTCATCCATGGTCGAAGGGACAGGCTCCGGTTTGTTTCCGGCAGGCTGTTGAAGTCAGTCCTTAACTTCCTCGGACGGGGTGCTATCTCATCCACTATCGGAAATCCCTCGTCTTCCACCACCTCTACTTCCTCTTCAAGAAAGGGTACATGATTTTCCGGCACCGGAGCTTCAACCAATCTATCAGTCTGGGAAGAAGTACCAGTTATTTATCTATCTTGATCGAAATAAACAAGAACAATGAATGAAAAGAAAGAAAGGTCACGTCGAATTCTAACGCAAGCAGAAGTATGAAATACTGAAAAAGGCGGAAGTTTGTAAAATTCTCTCAGGTAAATTGAAAAGCATAACAATCAAATAAGGGATTCCCCCTATTTATAGGAACGCAAATGTCCTGAGCAAGAAACCAGAGAGTCGCCAATTGAAAAACTGAAATGGCACAAAAATTGATATGGTGCCTGGGAAACATGCGCCATAATGACGATGACAGGTATTCATGGCACCCTGAACCGACGTGACGATCCATCTCTAAACTGATGTAACGGTCCGGTAAAGTCCGTGAAGCCTCGCCATCTCACCATGAGGACCTCGTCCCTCGCATGATGTCCAGATTTCTCTTAACTCTTGAATTAACAGGATCCGCTCATCGAGCTCGCCAAAAGGCGACCCCAACGGACGGAGGGACTAACTGTATGGGTCAAAATCTGACCATTAGATGGTTATCATTAAAGGAAACGGTAAGAGGTCGACCAAGCCATGGTCGTGCCCACGAGGCGTAATGGCGATGAGTATCTCGGCTACTGCCGAGATCAGGCCATCAGAAGGCTTATATGGCAGAACGTAATACTTAGGCGAGTGAGGAAGAGTACAATCATGAGAGGGCACGCTGGTTAAGAACCGTTGGGTAAAAGGGGAAAATTGACAATATATATAAGGAAGATAAAGCAGAAAGAAAGGGGGCTGGAATAAAAAGGAAGCTATCAAATAGGAGAAGAAACAGAAGACACGGAATAAACCCCCAAGGGAAAAAGGAAGGAGTCTATATTCTGGGTTACAAACCTTTGTAATCTCCATTGTTGAATCTATAAAGCTAGATCCCATAGTTATCAACAAGATTCATCCCTTGTCTTCCTTGATTTTACAAACACGGAACAATATATTGAAGTTGTAAGCTTATTATTTACATTTAATATCTTTCACTCATTCTAAGATATGTGTATAAACTCGGTCTCTTTGATTTTAATACCCATTGTGCTTAGATCTAAAGTCGATTATATTTGGCTAAGATTTATCCTCTATTTTATCATTAATTGATTTAATTAAAAAGGTTAATACTTTTTGGTCAAACACGAACAAGTTTAAGGACACTGTTCCATTTTTCGGTGGTACACGTTGTTTCGATATACGAGTACATAGAGGAGGCATATATTTAAATTTGCACGAACTATTGTGATATTTCATTTATGTGTCATACTCATATGATGACATTTCAAGAAGAATCATACTGTATAGATTAGGAACATTAGAAGAATAATACATAGCTCATTTGAACCCATTTACCATTACACTAAAAGTTTCCTTTATGTAAGTTTACGTATTATGAATGCAAATGATCACTATAGGTGATAGAAACTAGATGATATTAAGGGTTAGCTATTGTTACTATAAGTAGTAACACTTACATTAGTACATGTTAGCAAGTCCATACTTGAGATCCAATTACCATAGCAAGTCTCAGAAAACTCAATAAAAGTTTAATAAAAGATAAAGGGTACGTTTCAGCAAAGAAAAAGAGAGGAGACAGAAATATAGCATAAGTAAATGATAAAGCTGATGAGGCTATTGCATCAAAAATTAAGTAAATTAAGAAACCAGTATCACTAGCTCTGCCATTGTTAATTACATAATGAAATCATATATGAACCGCAGAGACCAGATTACTTTAACCAAGTCTATTCCTAGCTACTGTTCTAACAATTCTAAGCTAAGCTAGGTAATTCATATTTGTCTTTTCTATTTACATCTGGCGAATTCGTATATTCAATAAGAAATATATAAAAATTTCTTTTGAATATCAATCCTTCAATAAAGCAAGAGACGACTAGAGCTACCCAGGATTCTAGGGCGAAATCCACTTTTTTAATGCATAATATCTTGTGGTGCCATTAGTCGTGCCAGCAAAGTAGCATGACTACACATCTTCTCATAATGTAACGTCTTTCTTTCTGCTCCTTGAGAAACTTTCCTAGTTTTCTACTTGACATCCTCTTCTTCGAGTTACCATCCTTAGCTCCAGTGCTTCCCTTCATCTCTAGTTGAAAATTAATTGTACTCAAGTATGAATGAGAAACAAATTCTAGGTTTTTAGTGTGCCAAGAATTGAAGAATGCAATTGGGTGAGAAGTGGAAGGAGGAATAATAGGTCTTTCTTTTATAGTAGAAGACTACGGTGTGTGGTCCAAGGCATGCAATATTCAGCAAATTAAGAGGAAGGACATTACATTGAAACATGGACCCCATTGGTTGGCCATATAAGAAAAGCTTTCCCTATTTCTTCGAAAGATTTTTTCTTATTGTGTTTCTTTGTAATTTTCTTATTGTAACCTCATGTCCAATGCACCAAGCATATCAATTTTTATAAAATTGTGTAATTATATTTCACTAAAAAATAGTAGTAATTACTAACGGCCTGCTAATTTGAGAACTTTCCCTTCTTTTTTTTTCATGTTTATAAAGGGATTCATATTAATCCTACTATTATTGGCAATTGAAATCCCATCAGTCAAAGCTCACTCCCTAGACTCACAGGTACTTCAACTGCTCTAGTCATACACTGTCGTCAAGATTCAACAAGATCAACTATTTTATTAACAACAAATCTAAGGAGAAGTTGTGATTCAGAAAGGCAGGAGGCACAAAAATATTCAAATTCATATTAAATTATTCATGAATAATAACCTTCAAATGTAGCATTCCTACCAAATGTAGGCATTTTATAAGGAGCATGTCACCTTGAACAGGGCAATTATTTAACATGTCCCATCTTTTGCTCCTGCAGATAACTCTCACTAATCAGCATCCATTGTCTAACCTAGTGCTCGTGTATGTTACCAGGCCACATTTGTTTTTGACAACCAATTTCAAGCGGTTATTTGACCACAATTGCTAAAATGGTCCTTTTCAATGTCTATACACTAACCAAAAAATCAACCACAGTGTTTTTAAGATCAAATAAAGAAATATCTAGAGAGTATTATAGACGCAACACATCAACTGACAAGCTAATAAATCATTTTTATTATTGTCCTGAGGAAGAGTCCTTTTCTTTTCTTTTTGTGGTGTTGAGAGAAGCCTAAATCTAGACTGCTGTCATTCTGTCAATGTCCTTGTATTTCTCCCTTTTGTTTCTAATTTCCTAATGTGAAACTGTTCTTGATACTAAGCTGAGAGAACGGTTCGGACCTTGCTCACTCGTCAATATCAACTGTTGAGATTAGCAGTGATAGTAGTGGTTAGCTGTTAACTGTTAGTTGTACATTTGATTAGTTATAACTAACTTAGACTATGCTGGAGTTAGTGTAACTAGAGTTAGCTTAGTACTAACCATAGTTAGTTGAGCTTACATGTTTTATATATATTCATGTACAGATATTTCTTTGACAGTTGAATGGAATATTACATTTTTCCTCTCTCTTCTAGAATATTCCCTCGGATTCATCTCCTCTCTAACTGACCTTCTCCTAGCTTAGATCTTCAGCAAGTCTACCATGACCGAGCTCCATGGATAGCTGAATCCAACATGGTATCAGAGCCACACGGCCATTAGTGTTGTCCTATTATCTTCAATTTTCATTATCTCGAAGCTTTGAAGGAAGGTCATCAATGGTGACAGTTGACAACACCGAACCAGAGAAATTAGGCCACAATCATCCACTTTTCCTGAATTCATTTGACAATTCAGGAGCTATATTGATTTCGTTGCAGCTGAGAGGACCGGAAAACTACTCTGTATGGAGTCGGGCAATGAGAATTGCAATCCTAGGACGGAATAAGCTAGGATTCATCGATCGCACATGTAGAAAGGAGAATTACGATCCAAATCTCGCCGATCTTTGGGAACGATGCAATGCAATTGTATTGTCTTGGTTGATGAACTGTGTTTCGCCGGAATTGTTGAGTGGAATGGTATACTCCTCAAATGCTAGTGTAGTGTGGGGTGATCTGAGGAGAGGTTTGATAAGGTGGACTGTTCTAGGATTTTTTTCCAGATCCACAGAGAAATTGCTACTGCTAGGCAGGGTACTAGCTCAATTCAACTTACTTCTCAAAATTGAGAGTGCTTTGGGCAGAGTTTGACATTTTGGCACCATTTCCTGGTCGTGATGATGCTAATTCGCGTGAATTTGTTCAATTTATGGTGCGCCAAAAGCTTCTGCAATTTCTGATAGGGCTAAATGAATCATACGAAAAGGCTCGAAGTCAGCTCTTGATGATGGTACCAGTGCCATCAGTGAATAAGGCGTATTCTATGCTGATGGAACGTGAAAGCCAAAAGACTATGGCAAGTGCTTCAACTAGTCTAGATGCAGGGGAAATGGCTACACCGTTGACAAATAGAGTTGGAACTCAGCAAAGGCCAAAGAAGAACTACAACCTTTACTGTGACTACTGTAAATTGAAAGGTCATACTAGGGATATATGCTATAAGCTGGTAGGATATCCAAATGATCACAAGTTCAAGAAGAAATTCAACCCTCAAGGAACAGCTAACATGGTGACTGATCAGCCTGGACCACCAACCTTCACTCCCACTGCACCAACCTTCACACTAGAACAGTACCAACAAATACTGCAACTGCTCAATAGCAAGCCCACAGAAGTTGCAGCCAATGCAGCAGAACTGGAAACGGGTATTATTGCATCCTTAATGACTTGTTTGAATCAAGGTGTGTGGATTGTAGATAGTGGAGCATCCAATCATATGACTCCAAGGTTGGATTTGCTGCATAATGCAGTCTTATTAAATAAAGGCCGTTCAGTTCATTACCAAATGGAGAGCTAGCTGAGATTGCCCATAGTGGTTCAACTAATGTTTTCAAGGATCACAAAATCAGTGATGTACTTCATGTTCCTCATTTTAAGTACAACCTGTTGTCAGTTTCAAAACTCACTAAGGAGCTACAATGTTTGGTAGCTTTTTTTTTTCTATGTGTGTTTCAGGATCTCTACACTAGCAAGGTGTTGGGGATTGGTAGTGAATCAAATGGACTCTACATTCTTAAGGATTGCATTCAGAAGATACCGTTGAATACACTTCATACCACATCTATGTAGACTTCAACAAAAAAAAATCAAAGTTCAATAAAGCTAGGAATTTGGCATTAGAGGCTTGGACATCTACTTATGGAGGCATTGAAGTGAATTGACAAGCTCAAACAACAACTTGGGAATAATGGATCAGGTGATGATTGTTAGAATGTCCTATTTGTCCTTTAGCTAGGCAAACTAAGTTGCCATTCCCAGTCAGTAGGAATAGAGCACAGACTCCTTTTCATCTTCTACATGCAGATGTATGGGGACCCTACAGAGTCCCTACTCATGATAATAAAAGATTCTTCCTTACAGTAGTAGATGATTTCTCTAGATCTACTTGGTTGTTTTTAATGAATGCTAAGGATGAAACTTATTGGCTAATGAAGAGGCTTATTTGCATGGTTTAGGCACAGTTTGACTGTCATGTTAAGACAATTAGAACTGACAACGGATTAGAGTTTGTTAAATCAGATATGAAGTAGTTCTTAGAGTCACAGGGGATTATTCATCAAACTATATGTGTTTATAATCCACAACAGAATGGTGTTGTAGAAAGGAGTCATATGTATATATATATATATATATATATATATATATATATATATATATATATATATATATATATATTGGAGTTGGCTAGGGCATTGAGATTTCAAGCTGCAATCCTATTAAGATTTTGGGGAGATTGTGTTCTCACAGCTGTACACATTATAAACAGAATACCTTCCATAGTTCTAAAAGGGAAGTCTCCCTATGAAATGTTACTCAATACTCCACCTTCAATTGAGCATTTAAAAGTTTTTGGATGCTTGTGTTATGCTGTGAATGTGAGAAGACAGGATAAATTCTCAGCTAGGGCCCTACTTGCTGTTTTTATGGGATATTCACCCACTAAGAAAGGATACAAACTATATGATCTGCACTCTAAACAGTTCCTGGTCAGTAGAGATGTGATCTTTAAAGAGCAGATATTTCCTTTCAAGCATATGAAGGTGTCTTCCACTCCTATCTTTCCAGTCCTTGAGCCAGTTGAAGCAGGTGATCTGCAATCCATACATGATGCATCTCTGCCTGCACATGATGAACTCCCATAAATGCAGAATGTCCATTCCATACCTGAAGAAGTAGATAATCCACTGGATGATCAAGAAGCAGGTATCTCACCTGATGCTCTCCATCCATCAATTGATGAAGCTACTGAGGATATCTCACAACATCAAGGTACCATTGACACCTTACCTATTGCAATCAGAAAACATCCCAGAACTACAGGTGCACCAAAGTGGATGCAGGATTTTGTCTTATCCTCCTGTGTATATCCAATGGCACACTATGTGAACTATGCCAACCTATCTCCTTCATATGCACAATGTCTCCTAGCTCAGTCTTCAATTGTAGAGCCAAAAAACTATGCTGAAGCTGCAAAAGATACTAGATGGGTGACAGCTATGCAGCAAGAAGTGGAAGCCTTAGAAGAAAACAACACATGGAACATTGTTAATTTTCCTGTAGGCAAGTCTCCTCTAGGTTACAAATGGATATACAAGGTGAAATATAGAGCTACTGGAGAAGTGGAGAGATTTAAGGCCAGGCTTGTAGCCAAAGGCTTTAATCAACAAGAAGGCCTAGATTACAAAGAGACTTTCTCACCAGTGGCCAAAATGGTTACTGTCAGATCGATCATTATTGTGGCAGCCTCTAAGCATTGGTACATCTATCAAATGGATGTGCATAATGCTTTCTTGCAAGGAGATCTCTTTGAAGAAGTCTACATGCAACTTCCACAAGGGTACATTGCCAAGGGGGAGTCCAAGGCTAAAGTTTGCAAACTAAGAAAGTCATTGTATGGCATGAAACAAGCCTCCAGACAATGGAACCTAAAGTTAACAGAGGCTCTTCAGGACCTGGACTTTGTTCAAAGTCGATTACTCTCTATTTACACAGCAACATGGCTCAACCTTAGTAATTGTATTGGTCTATGTAGATGACCTTCTAG